TAAAAACTTTTAGTCGCCAATGGTGTAATATGTATATTTTGGTTTCCAAACCACAAACCAGCGCCTCTTCTCTCTTTCTTCAGCGGTTCTCTCTCTGACTTTCCCTCTCACCACCGATTGTTACTACCACTGTCGCTGGCCACCGTCCATCCCCACCGTCGCACGTCGCCACCGCCATTGCCGAAATTACCACCAACACTGCCGCAAATCACAGGTTTCTCACTGTTGCGTTCGGTCCTCTCCCTCATTGTCGATCTGGGTCTCTCTCTCTGTGTCAAGTCATTCCCTCTCTCTCTGTTTCTATCTCTCTCTCCCTTCCCCTATTTCCCTATTTCTCACACTTCATCTAGGGTTTATATGATTTTTTTTAGTTTAATTTTGTATTGATTTCGATAATGGGTTTGGTTGAAGTGTTTGATTTCTATGAAATTATGATATTCTTCATGTTGAAAATAGGTTTGATTTTTGTTTTATGGGTTTGATTTTCGAAATTATAATTTCTATGAAATTATAATATTGCCCAATGAAATGAAGCGCCATCACTTTCAGAAAAATAAATTTGATTTTTTTTTTTCCAGTTAGTTGAATCATCTATTCCTACTCATCAATATCTTTGTCCATATCAATTTCTAGTCCAAGGATGTAGGAGGCTCAATCCCTTTCAAGAAATAATTTCATTTTTGCTTCTAGCAGTTGAATTAGTCCATTTTATATTGTTGAGACTTTGTAAGCTCTCCCACCATACTCTGTTTTCTTTATTTCAATAGATGGCAGCATGTCAACTACCTCATACCTGATCAAAGAGAAACATGCCATGAAATTTCTAAAGAAACACAATGAATCAAGTAAAGCAACAGTGACATGATGTTAACAGAGGCTATATATATATATATATCTTTGCAGGGAAATGCATTATACACACAGCACATCATTGAACCACAAGAAAAGATTGCAAATTAGATGATTCAACTCTTTCTTCCTATAGTTGTTGGCTCTGTTTGGTGTAATTTGTAGGTGCTAGGTATTATTTTTTATTTTAAGAATTTGTGTGGGAGTGTATGTTTAAAGTTTATGAAGTAAAAATAATCCATATTAGCCGGGGAAAGATTGATTATTGGAAAGCTGAGAAAGAGATACATTTAGTTTTTACTTTTTAATTATTAAATTTTAGTTTGAATTTAAATGGCAAGTTGGATAGTGAATAATGAATTGTACAGTAATAATGTTGTTTGGCTTATTCGGGTACTCGATAGAAATTATGCTATTTAAAATTCATCTTTTCTAATATGTAGTTATGGTTTTCTATTTTATTTTTGTGAATGGGGGGAGGGGGTAGAAGAAAGGTTGCTTTTCATGGTGCTTTATGTTTTTTCTCTCTCAAAAGCTACTGGGTTTCTTGTGTGTATCTCAAAAGAAAACCTAACCCAAGTGATTATAGGATTTTCTAGAATCATAAACCAATTTGGACTAAAATTCATGTGCTCATTGAGGGGGTTTTGAGTGCAGCTCGTAGTACTATTGTAGGCCAGTGGAATGAAGCATATGTATAAATTAATGAAAGGACCAAGGGTTCGTTCTGAAACACTGATTTTAAAGGAAGATCCTTTAACTTGAAGATTGGCATCAGTTCTTCTGAATGTTCTTCTGAAGCTTTCTAGATTTTTCTTAATGGGTTTAAGATTTCAGAGTCATTGTTGCTTATGTCTGGATAGGTGAATTTTCTGTTTTATTTTAATTTGTTATTTTTAGTTTAGTTTACTCAACAGAAAGGTTCTTTTAGTGCTATCTAAAATCATGGTTTTTCTCTTCTAGCTCTGCTTTTTCAAAGGCTGGAAATGCCTATATTTCATAACGTTAATGGTTCTAAGATAGAAATTCTTTCACAAATTAAAAGCATTCAAATTTCCTCTTCTTCCAGCTTCCGCGATTGTACAATGTGTACAAGGAAATGGGAATTGTAACGTCATTTCAGAACATTCTTGATAATATCTTTCTTCCTCTGTTTGAGGTTACTGTTGATCCAGATTTGCACCCTCAATTGCATGCTTTTTTGTTTTGATAGAGAAAATAGTTTTTATATAGCAATTGTGAAGTACCACTTTTATTTTGGCCATTATTGAGTAGAATTAATTTCCAGCAATGTTAAGCAAGAATGATGGCTAAGTTTTGGTCAATACCCCCAGTCTCAACTTTTTAGATGTACAAAGTAGTGTGATATATAGGAATGGATCCATATGTGACATATACTTGTAACAATATTGTAATCCAAAAAAAGGAGTTCTAGTTCACAATGTATTCATGTTATTACGAAGATACTACTACATAAGAAAATTCTACTTTACTATTGTTACGAAAGTGAAAGATATGTATCACAATCTGGTCCTAGTCCCATGTTCTAAGATCTTGGTGTTGGACAAATCTGAAGACAAACTAGACCTAACATGTATATTTGAGTACATGCAATGTTTATGAAACTGCAATCATATGCTGTTGTGTTCATTTTAAGTTGCATTCTGGCTTTCTTTCTGAAGGACTTAACATTACTGACTATGACATTTATCCCTGTCATCTGTTTGAGATTTTAGGTTGTTGGGTTGGATTTGGTGGATGATGAAAGCAAGCCTGAAGGACGCCCCACAAAACATATGCCTACACCGGCTCAGTGGACTAATATATTCAATCCTGCATTCTCATACTATGTGTACTACTGTTACGCAAATCTTTACACTTTAAATAAGGTGAATTGCTTACCTTTGAAAATAACCGTATAGAACTATTCTACAAAATGCTAGCAAGACATCAAATTTGGATTCTGCATGCTTTCTTCTCTCAAAGAAAAACAGTAGTCATTATCTTGCCTCATTGCCTCATCCATATCAATACTATTGTTTTGATAGCCATCACCATCCTCAAAAATGAAGATTTTATGGGTTTTGTGTCTGTTTGGTCCTCCATGTTCTAATTTTGTCAGTTCAGTTCCTAAAATTTCTAATTTGAGTCTAAATGGTTCAATTAATAGAAATTATGAAAATTTATTTTTAAATTAAGACACATCTTGGAGTGTTATTTCCAAGACTGTCCAAGAAGTTCAGCATCCAACATGGGCACGGCTTCTCCCCACTACTTAAGTTTCTTCCACATGTCTTGACAAGTACTGGGTCTAGTAGTAGCTGTAGATCTGCTTAGGTTGCCTTTCTTTTTATTCCGATCCTGGTGTCATATGCCAATTATGTTTGTTGTGTTTTTTTAAACAATAGATACTTGTTTCTTGACATGACACAGATAGATAATCCTCTGCACTTCATTTGGTTCTTGGTTCTTGCAGAAATGTTTAAAATGCTTGAGAAATGGAGCTTCATTCATCGTTTTTTTTTTGTAGTTTGGGATGTTTGCAAATTTTCCTGTTCCATTTCCAGTGTCACTAACAAATTTGTTCAGTTCTAGGTGCTTTTTCCCTTATATTTCATTGCATCAAATTCTGAAAGTTTTAATATTACATCTCAGCTTCGTGAGTCAAAGGGCATGACAACTATTAAATTCCGTCCACATTCAGGGGAGGTATTGTTGGAATTTCCATTCAACTTGGTTATGATTATCAGATTATATTATATGAAATGCTCATTTATATTATTATGTTCAGGCCGGCGATATCGACCACCTTGCTGCAACATTTCTTACGGCTCAGAATATTTCTCACGGAATCAATTTGAGGAAATCTCCTGTACTTCAATATTTGTATTACTTGGCTCAGGTATAACAAAGAGCCGACTTTTTTTTGTTAGATTCTGGCATGTTGAGTGTATGACATTTCTAGTTATCTATGTTTATTTGTTGGTCAACAGATTGGTCTGGCCATGTCTCCTCTGAGCAACAACTCCTTATTTTTGGACTACCATCGAAACCCTTTACCTATGTTTTTCTTAAGGGGCCTCAATGTTTCCCTTTCTACTGATGATCCGCTACAAATCCACTTGACCAAAGAGCCCTTGGTGGAAGAATACAGTATTGCTGCATCTGTAAGTGGCCTCTCACCGTCTCTTTGCACTACTGATACACGAGGTAATGTTCAAGTAGATTAACTCCTCTCTTACAGGTTTGGAAGTTGAGTTCATGTGACCTATGTGAAATAGCCCGTAACTCAGTCTACCAATCAGGTTTCTCACATGCTCTGAAGGTACACAATCTTATCCAAAAAAAGTATAAGAAATTACTGACAGAAAACTCTGTCCAATCTCTACTTTCACCTGGTGGTGGATCTGCTTCAATCCTCTCTTTTGGGTGGTACCAGCAACAAATTGTGTGGTGTCTGGCGTGATTAGTTATACAAATGACAAAAAAGAACAAGAAAAAAAAAAGAGGATCCGTATTTTTAGGTCTGTTGCATGATTCAAGGAAAGTTTGTATTAGCATGTGGACAAGAAATAGTCATAAATATTTAGTTTAAGCTGAATTATTAAGGAAATAGCCTGTTTGAACTAGATCAGGTAACTTTGAAAATCAGTCACCTAGTTTTGTCCTGTCTATTGAACCCGCTAATGGATTATCTCAAAAAAACTCTCATAGTCATTTGCTTTTGACTTTATTTACATCCTAATAAGGAACGTGATGGGCAGAAGAAGAGACTGTCCAGAAGTTGATTATTTGCGATTGCACTATCCATTCTAGGCATAATATTCTTCATTCTTACATTGTTTGGTAGGTTCTCTGTTGACTAGACAGTTTGGTGGATTCACTAGTCTATGTTGCTACGTAGAAGCAACCGTAAGCTACATGTGGCTAGATAGAGACTGAATTTTGCAGAATTTTTTGGTCTACTAACTCAGTTCTTATTTAAGTCGACCCCAAATATTTTGGACAATGTCGATGTCATTGATTGTAATGTGGATTTTCTTTAGAAATTCAGATTTTTCTCCTTTTGAGGAATTTATGTACTTTTTTTTATTATTATGATTTATGTCGATACTTTCCACCTTCCAAATGTTGTATCTGAGCAACTAAATTTTGTGTTCTTAGTCCCACTGGATTGGGAAGGAGTATTACGAGAGAGGACCTAATGGAAATGATATTCACAAGACAAATGTGCCACATATACGGCTGGAATTCCGTGATATGGTATGTGCCAGTTTTATGGAACCTTCATGTCTGGTTTATTAAATGCTATTGTACTCCTTTTTGTAAAGTTCTTTTTTACTTGAAAGGTTCAGTTTGAAACTTCATGGCATTAGTAGTCTGATAATTGTTGATAACAGGATACATTAGAGAATGGATTTCATGCCTCTTTACCTATCTTGTTAACTTCTATGATAAAACATGTTGAAAATCAGAATCATGTAGAATCAAGTTGAATACATGAGTTGTTCATATCCTTTTCTAATTTTGTTTTCTGCTGGAACAAACCTAGCCTGAGAGATTAACAAGTAACCAGTGAAACTTTACTATTGCAGATATGGAGAGAGGAAATGCAAAAAGTTTATCTGGGGAATGCCAATTTTCCTAAATACAGAGACCCATAATGCGCTTAGCTTGTACATTTGCAGATTCACCATTTCTTACATTTCCAGAGGTAGTTATCAGAGTCTTATTTTGTTACTCTCTTATTAGTTGGTTAGTTTGGGGATTTGGGGTTGCTGCCACTCTGCCAAAATGGTGCTATTTTGTGCTTTAAAATGTGAAATTGTGCCGTTTGGGGATGCAGCAAGCAGTGACTCATGTTGGGGATTTCTCCTATAATTTTGTTTCCAATAGAAAGATGCTTCATTATACACTGTGAGTTGTAACCAAGAATCAGTCCTACGGTGCAGGGCAGGGCAGGGCAAAAAGCAGAGGCCATACCATGGAGATCAGTGGCTGATATAAATGAAAATGCAGTCTTGATGTCTTCAGCATTTCAGGAAGAGCTTGGGGCCAGAATAAAAGACTAGAGAGCCAGCTAGTTTCAACCTGGTACATATAAGCATAAAACTACGCTAAGTTATTTTAGTTTTTAAATGTTATCAATGACAAAATAATACATCATTAGTGGATTTTGTATTATAACGATTATCATCGCCAAGTAAAATTTATTTGCTTACATTGTTCGATGTTTTTAGTCTTATGAATTGAAGCTCTCTAAACGTTTTTGTTTTTTTAAAATTACTCATATTGTTAACTGCTTTACAAGATAACTACTAATAATTATCAAATTCAATCTATCTGCTTCATCCATCAAATCATCAAAAAATGTTTTTAATTCATCTCAAAATTACACAAAATCATGTCAAAAAATAGTGTTTTTCGGTACTATTTTTTTTTTTTTTAACAAAATAGTTTTTAAGATTTTTGATATATTTTGCTTAAAGCATGTATGGATTATAGAAAATTAAATCACTCAAATTCAACTAATATTTGGTTTGTTAAAAGCTCATTCAAGATTTAACTAATTATATACATAAAATCAAAATTAAACACATTTTAAAACTTGTAAAGTTTTCAAACTAAACTTACTACTCACTCGAGCCAGCTCAGCCTAGCTACAAGCGGTTATTACTCATAGATTAATCGCAGACTTTCAACTCTATGTGTGTACAAATTGCAAAAGTTTATAAGCAAGCGGATAGAAACAGGATGATCCAACTCATTCAAACCAGGATTCCACATTCTTAGGATACATGCTACAAGACTAACCACAATGTCATTGGCTTTAATAAAAGACTACTGATCCATTAACATAAAATTATGTCCATATCTCCCAAAATTACAATACCGCCCCCGCCCATCAGAAGTCAGAGCAGGATGAAACCAAAAGAGAGCTCAAAACTCTTATACAATCTATCTGTAGAACATGGGTTCTAACTACAGCCAAGAATCACTGATTTTTAAAATTCTGCAGCAAAAGCAAGAAACATGTTTAGACAGATCATGATCAATGACAAACTTAAAAACTCAGTAACCAATACCAGCACTCTCACCTCAAAATTTTTCGACAAATCTTTCATCTGATCAGCAAGTTCTTGCTTCTTCTGGGCAGCTGAAACAATTATCCAATAACAACATTAGCATTGTCTTCAACACTGTAGTGTACAACAAAGAACTATTATTGAATGGAAATGAAAAAGTAAATAATTATATACCCGTATTAGAAATATTCTCAATCGTCTTTGATGTCCTCACAGTGAATCTCTGGAATGCAGGGCTGCAAAAACAACAGAACAAGATGAAATTAGCAAACCCCCCTAGTTTATTTGTTTATCCGTTGATTATTAAATCCTGCCTCTCTACATGTGCACATTCTCTTCTATGTAGATTCAACAGAAATATATCGGATTTGGAAATACACGTTAATATATGAAAAAAGACATGAAAAGGGAATTGCCAAAATACACTCAGCAGTGTGGATGGCTAAACCACAATTTAGCTTGCCGAAAAGACAACAAATACGACTAACCTTGAATGGCAAAGTCGGCATCAAATAGGTCCTGTAGCCAACCAAGGCAACAGGTAATCAGCCTAATATCAACTGCCATATTGGCATGGAAGACTCCTACTGAAAAACTGAACCAACTAACCCTAAGAAAGCCACCTGACACATTATGCAAGAGCAGCATGCCAAAGCAACGTTGGTGAAGTCCTCATCGGAATGTGAGAGCTGACACATCCAAGCAAGAGCATTGAGGATAGTCCTCATGTGCTCAAACATGGTCCAGGAGAGAGAAAAGGTGTTTATCGCAAACCAACCCACCTCTATAACTAGGGAAGGAACAATGATTGAAAGGTATGTGAAAATATATCCTCTAAGGTCCCGTTTGATTGTCCGGATTGGATATAAAGGTTTGAGAAGGATATGTAATACCTAAGGATAAAGATGGGATATAATATGTTGTAAGATATGAGATTAATTATATATAATGTGGGGTCACTTATATTATGTTTGGTTTAAATAGGATATAAGATGGGATAAGAGAAAGTAATTAATTTTGACATTTGGATAAAAGATTCTCTATATCTGACGGTGGGAGATATACAATACCATAGGGGGTTGGTATTGCATACCCCCCGTTCGAGGCATATACCATCCGGACTCCCTATATCTGGAGCAATCAAACACGAGATATAAGAAGACAAAAAAACATTTGGGACCCACCTCATATTATATCCGGTCTCCCCTCATATCCGCCCCTTATATACCCTTAACAAGGAAAGGAGCTAACTTAGTCATCAGAGTGCTCCCCTGGCCAAACTTCCAGACAGTTACTCTGGTGGTTTGATTCTTGGGCATGAAATACAATCAAGACCTTAGTCTCACTTTGGGAAAGAAGGAGCTAGAAATCATCCCACCACAAGAATTTTTAGGTTAATTGCAAATCATGAACAACTTCTTCCATTAATATGGCTATGGTCAATTCCACAATAAGTACAAATCTATCGAGTTATCATATCAATACTATACACCCGTTTGGATTAGGTGATTTGGGAAGGAAAAAAAAAAAAAAAACCTTCTCTTGGTTCATATCACCTATTTAGATAAGTAAAGAGGAGAGAAATGACCATTTCTCTTATAACCCTCATTTTGAATCTCTCCAAAAGTGGAGAGAAATTGGGAGAGAAAAGAAATCAATAAATTACTGCTTTTTGATCTTTTTGATAATACCAAAACTATCCCTTTAGATATAGAAGCAATTAAAAAAAAAAAATTAACACCTATATTAAAAGAATAATGTTTGGTAGCTCGAGAGAGTGCTACACCGGTCCGACATGACCCCGTAAACTGTCTTCTACAACGGTCCGACATGACCCCGGGAGAGGGTTGGGTAGAGGCCGTTGTTCTAACGGTTTCAGATGTCCTTTCCTGAGTAAGACCCCTAGGGCTTTAGACAAAGGCATATAGAGTGGGGTGAAAACCCTCTTGCCTCGGGGTAGATAGTCCGAAGTTCGGGGGTTTGGATTGGATGCACCAACAAAGGGGGTGGTTGTTCTTGGTGTGGTGGTAGCGACCATGCCCACTTCGGAAGATCTTGCAACTGCATCACCACTGGTGGTCGCATTCGAACTGCGGTTAAATGCCCTCTTGGGCTGCTCCCTGTCATTGTCAATCAAACCCTGCTTCAAGGCATCCTCAATCTGTACTCCCATCTCATGCAAATCTGAAAAGGTGGGGAAGGGGAGAACGATCATCTTCTGCATGAGTTTAGGCTGGAGGTTGCGCATAACCATCCGTATTGGATCCTTGTCTGTCGGCCTAATGGTCATCATTGAGGCCTTGGCCCTCCAGCGGGTTACAAAGTCAGAAAAACTCTCCTTAGGCTCCTGCCTTGTCGTCTCAAGATCACGGGTTGTAATCTCGATTTGCGTATTATAGGAGTACTGTGCAACGAAGGCCTCGGCCATCTCCTCCCAGTTCTTTTTGACGGAGTCTTCCAGTTTTGCGTACCAGATGGCCGATATACCCGACAGGGTTCGGCTGAACAAAGAAAGCTTCTGTAACCTGGTGAGGCCCATCAGCCTTAAAATGTCTGAAAATAGCCGCAAGTGCACCATGGAATCCCCGGACCCATCGAAACGGTCAATATGTGGCATCTTGAATCTGTCTGGCAGCGTCACAGTTGCGTCGGTATACCCATCCTCGATGTCCGGGATGGACTTCACTCCTTGAGATTTCTTGAATAGTTTTTCAAGCTTGTTCAGTTTTAATGTCGTATGGTCCACCTCGAATTCGAAGGGAGAGTTGGATAGCTGGGGTAGGATTGGGGGCGGAGCTGGCCCCGTCGGAATGTTCGTACCTTCCTGGACATTTGGTGTCTCCCCAGGTACTGGAGCTCCTGGTGGGGGAGGAGCTTGATACGAAGCAGATGCTCCGTTTTGTTATTGCAGCCTGGTGATTAGCTCAGCCTGCTGGGCCATGATCGCAGCCTGCTGTTTGGCAAATTCCGTCTGGCGGGCAGCGTCTTGCTGCATGAGTTTCATACTTTCTTGGAGTTGATGCATCATTTCCTCCATCCCTGCCATGTTCTGCTGTTCCGGCTGATTAACTGGTATATCTATCTCTGTGATGAAAACTGAGGCCTCAGCCTGACTGTTCACTGGTGGGGTGGATAAGGGCCACTGATCTGGTAACTACTGAACTGGTGATCTGTGCCTGACTGGCCCTTTTACCCTGCCCCTGGCAAAGGAACACTGATTGCCCTTGAATTGAATCTCTGACCCGACAAAGTCTATCAACACAAGTCCAATGAATCTGGGGGATCTCAGAGCCTTCTGAAGCTATGGTTCCAAGACTACCCTAGCAAAAGAGAAAACAGACAGTATCTCAGCCCAATTTCACCAGAACAGATTTGAGCATAGCTAAATGACTGCACTCGTTACTGATTTCTGCCCCAAAATTCTACCTCAAATCTGATACCCTCGGGTAAAACTGATTCCCAAATAAGTGATGCCCGCAGGCCTGATGCCCGGACTCGCAAACTAATACATGCACTCTTGTAGAGATGTACTCTAAAAGCACATAACAAGAAAATGAGAGCCAAAACACCCCTATGGTGGGGTAGGGTTTCCCTGTCCTATTTTGTCAGGAGCTAGGGTTTCACTACGCACACAGCGGTTTCAAACAACCTATAATCGGGTAAGCAACCTGTCCTAGCTTGGAATGGTCACTATGGATCCGAATATGCACTAGGTCAAATGGTCGAAAGGGTGCCCTGGTAAAAACCGGGGTTTGTGTTCCCATACTGTCAACGTACAAAACTAACATTCG